GGGCGGAGAGAGATAAGCAGGGCCGACAGCCGGCAGCCGCGAGCAACGAGGGTGGAAACGCTCGCGAGACAGAAAAACGATTTGACACAGTTCAAGAAGGCGCTCGTGAGGCCGCAAGTAATTCGAACAGCCTCGAAAATCGATTAGTGCAATCGATTGACATATGGGCAAGGCGAATGGTCGTTCACATTTATCTGACGCAAACAGGAGATAAGACACCACGTTCTGATGATGAGAGGGAGCGAGCTTTTGAAACGTCAGCCAGAATACACTTTGGTCCCAGAAATCGTCCCCACTTCTTCTTCCTCTTCCGTGGATGATGTAAGGAATATTTTGTTCAACTGGACGAACTGTCATAGTGCTTGAGGCCAAGGCGAACGATGCTTTATCTTAAACACCAATTTATTTGATGATTCTAATGCGTTTTTCCGTCTTACATTCGCTTATTTTTAACTAGGGCTTCATTTACCTGAACTAGAACTATTCTCCTTGCATTGATAATTTCAGGTCTTGTCCTCCTCTTCTCGGCCTGCAATGCTGCAAATGTGTGAGTAAAATATTTTTTTAACCAGCTAACCCTATTTGCCTTACGAATTTGCAACCCCTTAAATGTTAGCATTTTGACGTAAAGACAGATGCTCATACTATACTCACTGTTCCGAGAATCCGGCCGGATAAAATAGATAAAGTTGCTATCTGTGTTACTGAATGTCTCGAATAAACTGTGTTAGCCTTGCTGCTAGTTCATACGATAAATTCCCAGTGAAATAAATGCTTCTACTTGCATTTAAAGTTAAACAAATCAGCTACTGAAATATCTGATGTAAATGAATGTTGTATTATTCGGATCAGGTTCTTTATCAACCACATGTGGAAATTCACTATATACACAAGCACCTGCACTTTTTATTCTGGTAGTTGAATGACAAGATAGCTGCTAGGATATACCAATTTTAGTTGATTCTGGAGCAGATTGCTTTCCTATTGGACAGGAGATGTCTCATAAAACTTAAGATACTGCAGTAAGCCAAAAGTTAGCCTGAAAACGGTAAATAGCACCGTGCGACAAAGAGGCATGATAAAGCGTGAGCTATTACTTAAAAGGGTTTCGTTAACCCATAGGATAACACAGCCTTTTGGATATAATTGAGAGGGCGGAAACCAAGGCAAGCCCTAATGTGCTCCGGGCCTCAAATGTGCATTGAGTGGGAATAGCATAATCCGAGATTTACACTATTTTTGAGATTGAGGAGTTAGAAGACCATCACCGACTTAATTCAGCACCACATTTTAAATAATAGTAATAATCATAATAATAGTGTCAGTGATAGTACCACTACTAATATCATTCAGCTACACTCCTAGTTAGAAGTAGTAGGAATAACAGTAGCAGTAGTAGCAGTACCAGCTTGGGTTTACTTGAGTCTGTTTTGACACCTGCTGAAAGTGAGTGAGGGCAAATAGTGCGGTAGTTCCAGCGCAAAAGACTACTGCCAGTTAAAACCAAGTTAGGCGGTTCCGGCCTGCATTGAAGAAAGCGGCTCACGCCTGATCCCGTTAGGTCATCTTGACTCTGCCTTGTCATCTGTTCAAACGGGTTAAAAGTTTAGAATAAGGTTGACAGCTGCGTCTCTATTTCACTTAAATCTCGTCTTTGACTCCCGTCACCATCCTGCTCTTGAGCACATGGTGGACTTAATCGAAATCAGTGGTCGAAATGTCATCATCAGTTAAATGAGCGATGCTTTCTTGCCCCCATATAATATCCGCTTAGTCATGTGACTACAAACGCAATAGTTCACGCAACTAGAGATGGTTTTGTTTTCGTTCGGATGTGATATGTGGATGTGATATTACCCCCTCCTCCCCATATCTGAGAAATCGTGATAGTGTATTTCGTACTAGCCAATATATTTTGACCGTATCTGTATTTATGATTATAATCATAGGGTCGAAATGCAATGCTCCGAGTCAGAGTGCATTCAGTATCTACCCAAGGAGAAGGAGATTCTTGCAAAGCTCAAACTCCCATTTGAAGTGACCGTATGTTCCTGCTCTGGTTTGATTCATAAAGTTTACTCATTTAAATAAACTTTAACGTATATATATATTATTTTCTACGTAATAGGCAAGTCTATAATTATTTAAGTTTTAGAATCGTTAAATGGCCATTCAAATATTAAGTTTTTTGCGTATTTGTTAGCTCAGCTTTGTAAGCGTACATAAAGGGGTCCACGAATTCTCTTATACTGAAAATAGGCAATCTAATTCAAAGTTATTCTAAAATTGAACAAGATTCAGAATAGAAGCATACTATTACTTCAAACGCTAAAGCTATATTACATTTATTTTTTGCAAGCGAGTGTAAACATACCACTGTGTTCATTTTTCTATTGAATATACTTATACGGATATAGAAAACCCGTAGACGAAAATAAATACAATATATGCGGTTCATTTTTAGCATGGGCGTTTTCTTATACGGCCGAAGTCTATCGTGAAACCTGATAAAAAAGAGCGAAAACCCCACATAGGAAACACAAACCGTCTATTTAGGTAGCTATCTAGTGTTCAATAGACAATGCCAAATGTCTAACATAAACTTATATCAGCGGGATTTAAAATTTAATATGTCATCGAAAAATCTCATTTAACTCAGCTATCCAGAGCACTGTCGAATGTCTTTTCATGCTCTCCACTGTAGGCTATCCTTCCGCAGCCGGCCATGGAATGCGAACCTCGGACCTCATTGTGTCTCTACTGTATAAGTAAGCGCTACCTGACTCATAACTGCATTTTGCTCGAAATAGGCATATAAATGTATCGACGCCGTAGTAAGCCCAAAGGTCTGCGAACGATACTACGTTTAAATTTGTGCATGGTAGGCAAGCCTTAATATTTTGAAATTTCTGGAGGTTAGCTGAAACCGCAGTTTCTTTAAGTGACCGGCCGGACTATTTACAGTCAATGGCTTGTATTATTTTATAGTAGTCATTTTTATGCAAAGAAAATGTCTTATCCCTATATTTTTATTCTTTTGACATCAAAAGAAGTTCAAATCTATTTGGACTGTAAACTTTTGTAAACTTTGTAGATAACCAGACCGTAAAACTTTGGGGAAAATTTAATTCAGGACAGTCCACCAAGGTGCATTTTTCTGACGGGTCCAATAAAACGGCCAACCTTTATATCATTCCAGAAGGGCAACCAGGTATTTCTTTCCCACTTTTTATATCTTTTTTTTCTTATCGTAGTCCACAAATTTGCAGAAACTGCCTTCCTCTTTTTTTTCGGAGACGCCTGTCAAATTTGTTAGTTATAGAAATATTTCGGTCAAAACCAGTGGCAGGGGAGAAATTTTCAAATGGAATAATGGCATCTCCGCAATATTTTGGGATTATGTTGTAAGATACTCAAGACCACAACTAAAAGTAGTCGTTTCCTTTCAAAAATGGACAAAATTTACCGAGACTGGATATTGACTGTAAACTCAGCTCTGTAGGAGTCAACTGCGTCGAAATGAACTTAACTCACAGCGGAATGTAATAAAGAGCGCCAACTTTGTTTTAAGAATTAGCCAAGAGACTTAAAATCATACATCATGAGACCCCAATCATTTAGTGGAATAAATTATAAGGGTAGATGCAAGGAAAAAACGTTTCGGAGCGACGCTCCATCGACAGCCAATGTTAAAACAACTCTTGGTCGGAGGAACTGGACGTTCGAGCCCTAGTTTAGTTGCTCCATTTTCAATGGAATATTTAAAAATGGATAGGGTATGATAGTTCTGTATACCATCTTCTCCGACCAAATTCTACGAATTACGTCTTTGATAATGAGAACTAGGGTTGCCGAATGATATTTTAAAAATATTATATTAAATAAACTCGCACCATGTAAAGTGTTGCTAAGCTTTCCATGGTAACCATCCACATAACCACTTGTATCTCAGCCTTCCTTGAACGCAAATTTTGGTATTATTTGCGAATGAGAAAGATTATTGTTGGCTTTATTTGCTCTTTGTAAGCCAGAGTCTTTATTGTCGAATTTGGTCTTGTTTAATGTCTAGAAAACCTGGTAAGAGCTAATTAAGCACATAAGTACAAACTATTAGATACCCAGGTAACGCGAGGTTTGTTAAAAGCAATATAACTCCTAAGATAAATATTAAATTGTTTACGGCTGAAAAAGACTCCGCTGACTGGTTTCCTTTTTTGTTTCACTGTTTCCGATACACCGTATAATTTAGTTTACCAGTTCTTCGCTGGAAGAGCGTTTCTTACCATAGACGGTATTGTTTAGCGCCTTTTCCTATGCAAAATAAGAGGTGCAAGAGGTCCGCATTTGTTGCGTTAACCAGACTTCAGTTGCTTTCAAAAGTGAACAATTTAAATGATATTCGGATGTTTACCGGTAGTTGATGTCGTGACTTTGATACACTTCTGGAATGTACCCGTCCTAAAGTTTTCTTAACTAGGCGGATATTTACGCACATAAATATTTCTAACAAGGACAATAGAATCTAGAATGACTATTTCTGGCTCATCAGTCGTCATCAGGCAGTCACGTCCAACCCCACGTGGTGCATCACCCCAAGCTCGAGTTCGTGACCATTTGCTTAGACGTCTAACGCCACGGGCTCGTTGCCTTCCGATTTAGATCTGGATAACTGACATTCTTTAATGACTACTTAATGGTTAGAGCGTTTGACTTTTGATCGAAAGGTTGTGGGTTCCCCACCTCAGTTAATGCACCACCTGGGTGGGGATATGACTGGCTGATGACGGCTACTGAGTCAGAAATGGCCAGTACAGATCTCTTTGGCTTTGTCGGCAATGTTCATTTGCTACACTACTAGCATCTAACTGAGTTTGAAAGTGAGCCCCAATGTATAACGGCATGAATGTGCTCCTTAAGTGATCGGCCAGCCTAGATCAACGGAAAAGGGACCTTTCTGGTTTATTAATGTTTATGCGTCTAAAATAGCCTTGCGGAGACCGTTCAAAGTCGCCGCTTTGAGTCGGATAAATCTTTGCGTTCAACTAATCTGAAGTTGTAGATGCATCTTACATTTCTTTTAGTTTCGCAAGACAAGCCATGAAGACTATCACATCGCCCCTTCAAAGACCATTAAACGGCAAATTATGTTTACTGGGAAAAGGTGTGAATGCAGTTTTTAGAAGTGGACATATAGGGTCATAAAAAATATTCAGCCTTTTTTTCTGAGCCGGCATGTCCATAGTGATTGATGTTCAAATTTTTTTTTATTGTGGGTTTATTTTATAAGATAAGACTGGCGTTTTCATGCACGGATTATCTGACAAAATTCAAATCCCCAATGGCAGCGAAGTCGCAAAATGTGATATCACAAAGTATGCTAACAAATTTATCCCTCAAAATAGCATCCTCCATCTTTCTAAAAAAGCTAAATCTAAAAGAACATCGAAAACGCACTGAGGAAGTTGTATGTCTTCTTGTGCCTTTGTAGAACCAAAAGTCCGCGAGAATGTGGAATTCACGCTACCGTGGAAGATTAATATTCCAACAACAGGACTAGTTTCACTGCCGGTTGTATCGTACGTGCCTTTCGTCGTCTCAGTAAGTTTATATAGTACTAGATCACTTCGAATGATGCAGTTAAATAACGTGGGCCTCATATTTACAAAATTAGCCATCGGTTTTGCAGATTATGGCAGATTAAACAAACTTCGGCAACCAGCTGTAAAATTTGAAATTTTAAGCAAGCAACATCGGAGAGAGAATAGCGGGAAGATGCGAAATCTTCAAATGTTGGAAGGTACCTCGTGTAAATAAAAATATTTGCAAGGTCAATTTGCTGCAATGTAACTTGGTTGCAGTGTAAACATCACAGTCATCTGAGAAGACGGAAGGATAATATGTCGGTAAGAATTCCTCGTACGCCGCCCAATACCAAAAAATCCACCCCCCCCGCCTATGGGATTCGTCGTCAAAGGGAAATGAAGGGTAACGCCCATCAGGGGACTTGTAGATTCGGGATAGTTGCGCAATAAGAAAGAAGTTAAAGCTATTTTGTATGTTTTTAATGGACTTAAAATGTAGGTGAAAAGACAGCTTAAAAGACAAAGGGAACAGAGAGGTATGCCTATAGGCCGAAGAAACTAGTAGGACAACTCCTATTGGTTAACATAATCAAGAAGATGTTCGAATAGGCGAAAATTCGACCTACTGAAAGGTTTTAAATAGGTTTTAATTGGAAAAGTCCTTTGGAGGGGGCCATTAGAGGAACCCTCACCAAAATGTCTCACCACAGCCTACAGGAAATGCGAATGTTTCGTAGACATAAGGTGTGTGCCGTTATTTTTAATGAGAGTGCCGTTTCTTCATCTCCAATGTTCTTTCGCTGGACTTATTAGTGCCACAACATAAATTACTGGTTGTTTCTTCATTTAAAGCAGACCTCCACCTGAGTAGCTATAAACGTAACTTTAATTCTTTTTGGCGCCAAGGTAAGTAGATCAATGTCGAAGAACTTGTTAGCCAGCTAATAAGAGAGAAAGATGAGCATTTCAGCCTACGCATACTGCAATCAGACTTTTTGCATCTCAATAAAGCACACTGCACCTGCCAAGAGGCCCGCCACGAGGCCTGCCAAGAGGCCGTAAAGCCACCTTTCGAATGAGGGAGTTTTTCTTTGTCGGAGTATTCGGTCATCCTAAATGCAACAGTTAAACATGTAAATATAATCTTCTGAACAAGAGTACATCGTATCGGCAAACGCTTTTTTCATCCTTCCAATATGCTACGTCGGAACTGCATCTTCTCCGCTATCACTTTGGATTAATAAAACTTAGTTTAACACTCTAATTTTTCATCTACATTACACCTTCCTTCATCTTTTTTGACGGTTTAATGTTTTTTTTCTTGAATTTGGCTGTTGAAGCAGATAAGTTCAGTACAAAAATCACATAATCATTAGGACAGAATACCCGCCTGCGAAAATTCTTCTTGCAGGCCTATGGCTTGTATTTTGATCGATAATCCGAGCAAATGGTGCAGGAATCCGAGATTCTGTACCATACAATAGAACTGTTTATCCTGCCGACCGCATAAAAAGGCAATAGGTCTGAGCACCTAGAGTTAGACGAGACACTGGGGTTTATTACAGAACTAGAAGTTATTTTGGTGTAGAAAGTCACTTTGAGCCACGCTGATCAAACTGGCTTTTGCTTGTCGAGCGCGTGTAGCACAAAGGCTTTTGACACTAACATATGACGACGAGAGAGTACGTAAACAAATTATTTTTTTTAGAACGTTGACGTTCAGTCTCTAGATGGAGTTCGACTCCACCCTGCTAACAAAGCAACTCAGCTGGAAAGCTCCTGCGAAGATGTCTGCTATCATACAGAAAAAGGTAAACGCCAATGTTCTTTGTCACTCACTCGAACTGGAGTTCACTTTTAATGCTAGGAATGCTTGTTTCCACGTAAGAGTTCCGACTGCAGAGCAGTCAGCTCATAATATATATTTTCTGTGGACATCCTGTTCCTTAGAACTTTTGGTGACCGTAGATAGCGGTAATAGACTTTCAAATTTTCTAAATAGTTTACAACGCCGACAGCGTAGTTATTATAATAAAGTCCGGGCAGGTGTTTTTGAGACTATCGGCCGCTGCATATCGCAGCCGGACGGGTTGGGGGTCATCAGGTGTTCTATCGCAGTGGGTTGAGTTAATAGAGCAAGGTCTTGCCGCTGCGATCTCCAGGCCTGGTTACATGCAGAAAGATAAAAGGGGGCACGCCAGGGGAGAGGAGTGGCGAATAGTTTGAAGGAAGTCGGCAGCCGGACGAGCGTGTGTCCGCACCCGAGAGGGGGGCACCGTCCGAAGTATGTGAGCGAAGCAGTCGTCACAATGAGGTCTGGTGTGAGTCAGCCTTGAAGGTGATTGGCCAGACCGGATGGGAGTAGGCAGGCACTGGGGCATGCGCATTTGCTAGCAGCCGCGCAAGGGCACAGTTCGCAGGGATTGCGGTCCTTACAGGTTCACTCATGCTCCACAGGTGCTTTCTATTACGAAGCCCCTGTCCAATCACTAGGTCCTTTTTAACTTCCTCGGATCCTGTTGTGCGATGCTAGCGTAGGCCCTTCGAAGGAAACCGTATGAAACTTGTTGCGAATATCTGAACGAGTACTTTGGCTAAAGTGCATCACCTTCAGCAAAGTGCCACGACACATTATTGGCAAGCGGCTTGTCGGAAGTTAGTGGTTTAATTGGAAGCTGCACATGAGCGCGACCAATCCAGTGGGATTTTTTAGTTCACAAACATTATTTGAACTCCTTTTTTAATTAAACTATGGTCGAAAGTACACTTCCGTTTGAAGTATTCTCATTAGTCGAGAAACTTTTGAAAATGTCAAGCAAAATGTGGTCACATTTAGACACCCATCCACTGTCTGTTCCCACCAACCATAAACTCAGATCAACTGGTTCTTGAGGACGCACAGTCGTTGGCTAATGAAAAAATAATGGTAATTGCCTATGAACTACGCAATTCTGCGAAGTGGTGATGCATGATAACTAGTCATGTTAACTTTGATTGCTGTTGAAAGCCAGATTATGGCAATGGTAGCTAATGTAGGCCCACTCATTTATCCCTATTCCCTGCATGTTCTCCTACGAAATCGGTGGCTATAGTGTTTTATGAGTGGGGAATTAGGAAACGCCGTGAAATATACTTTAATAAATGCTAAATGCATTTTCATTTTACAGAATTAAGAAGTGTTGTTGATTTACATCTGTAGATTTACCTAACCTGTATTATCGTTTG